GGTTTGCTTTGGGGATGTGATGAGGATATTGAGCCTGGAACCACCTGCCAAGAAATAGACCCATCTCTTTGGGTTGGGTCACTCAACTTCCTAGACTGATTCAATGAATACTCAGACAACTGATCAGATGTCCATCTATGACCACACCCCTGCCTACCCCTGCAGAAGCAGGGGGGCACCATGGGAGATTGGGACCCTCATTTAAAAGCAGGGGCTGAAAAGGCCTCACAGAGAGGAGCAGGACCTCTAAGCCCTGGATGAAGCCAACCAGGGAGGCCTATGGTGTTAGGAATCCAGTAGTCTACATCCCAACTTTCTACCTAGCCCTGGAGGTTCCAGGTAATATTCCTGCCATTGAACTGCTTAAGCATCCACAGAAGACAGGATCTTTCCATAAATACTCTTTTGTCCTGTGACTTGTGCTTGTGTGCATCTTCGCCCCCCCCCCCCCCCCCGCCGTGCCCCCCGGAGTTCTCAGCAGCATTTTCTGAGGCTGTCCTAGGCTCATTGAGCATTACTGTCATGGGAGCCCTGCCTTACTCCAAGCTGCCCACAGCTCATGCTGTGCAGAATGTGGTTGTGGGGCCAGTAGGGGGGGACTGCACAGTGGTGTTTAGCAACCCAGGCTGGGACCTGATTCCATCAGCCATGGAAGAGGGTCATCTGAATAACTGAGACAATGTCCCTCCTTTAAAAGTCAAACTAAATCTTAGGAGAAATAACTGATCATACAAAAGTGAGAAAATAGATCAATTGTGTTACACTTGTAAGAAACAAGGGCTCTTCCTCCATGGACTAGAGTCTCGTAATTGCCATTTGCAAGGCAGATTTGGGGTTCAGGCGGAGGCAGCAAAAGTCACCTGGTCATAACGTGACCTCTGAAGCACAAGCCCACCCAGCCTGCCATGTCTTGTCTTGGGGAAAGCCCCTCAACCAGCAGCCCTTCTCCCTCTGTGGGAATGCTTAAGGTTTGCAGCTCAGCATGTCCGGACAGCTCTCTGAGATTGGCACATAATCAAGAGCTCCCTCCCCGCCCCAGCAGGGCCTCCTGCTCTCTGCCTGACTTTATTTGGAAGCTGTCCCTGAGCCTGGATACCTGACCCTTCTCAAGCGTGAGCTTTGACACAGATCCCTGTAGATGCTCTCCCCTGGATGCCCATACGATAATTAGGTATTCTGCTCCAGCCGAATGGCAGGACTGCACTGCTGAACACAGATTAGGTGATGCCCCAGCCTCTGTCTCCATCCTATATATTTCTCCTCACTCTGGAATAAAGCTGTCCTGGGACACTGAAACTGTCTCCTGGAAAGCTATTTCCATCCTGTTCACAGCCATCCAAACTCTGCTCCCTCCTCCATTGTGGACCCCTGGCCAATGATCCCCGAGGAGGAAGGAGACCCACACCCTCCTCTCTTCTTTTTCTTTCTCTCCTTTTTGCTCCTCTATTGATGGGGCCAGGATCATCCTTCTTGTCCACACAGCCTCTCCACTCCCTGCTCTAGCCACCATGGATCCTTACTTACTCGTCATGATACAAGCCTAGGGTGTATGCATGTGTATGCGTGTGCCCACGTCATACCTGAGGATTCAGTATAATGGCTACAACTCAAGGTGTTGAATACCACAGATAAGGGAAGATGCTTAGTGAAGTGTCATGTGCAAGGAAAGTTGTGACATGTGATGGTTATTGAGCAGATCACCTTTTCCTGCTCCTTGGGGAAAAGCTGACTTTCTGAGCTGGGCAGAAGTCACTTGAGGAGGGGCAGCAGGTCAGACCAAGGCACCATTTTGAATGATGCTCTGGCCAATCACCATTTGTCCTCCAGATAACCCCACTTCCTCTTCCACACCTGAAGGAGGCTCTGCTTCCAAAGCTCCCAGTGACGTCGTCATTAGCCCTTCACTTAATCCACCTCACTGCGCTCCATGCCCCAGGGAGCAGATGCAGACTGACTCACCACTGTCCAGACAGTCAGGCCTCACTCAGTACGAGACCCACCAGCTGGGTGACTAAGCAAATTCTGTTTTCTTAACTGACCATAGTGTATGATCTGAGGCCTGTGCCCAGCCCTTCACAGTACGTGACAGATTCCATGTCAGTAATGAAAGAAAGGGGTATGACAGGGAGGAAAGATGGAGGGGAGGAAGGCCACTTAGGAGAGAAGAATGGCTAAGTAGGATCAAGTGGAAGTCACCAGGCAGGAAATGTTTCCATAGTAACACTAAAGAAATTCAGAGTTACAGCTAATACTGAAAGTTTAGAACAAGCCCAATTCACATGTAAAGATTTGTTTATCATGAAAGGTCAGATCAGACCATGACCACATCCAAAGTCTGTCTCTTTTACAGTGGTGACTTCTAGACTCCCTCTATTAACAAGAGTTAGTGTCTCTGAAACTCACAGAGTAGACGTGTCCATCCCTGCATGCTAACAGCTTCACTGATGGTGGCAAGTGAGTCTGACAGCTGCTTGGTCTGAGGTCTTCAGGCCCAATGATGAGCATTTAGGCATCTTTAACAGGTGTCTCCCCTGGCCCTATGGGAACTAGGGAAGCCGATGGATGAGGCGGCAGGGAAAGGCTCTCTCCAACCATTTTCAGTGTTAACATTTAGGATGGAGCGATTTGTAAGAATGAAGACGTTAAAGAGTTCAGAGCCCCCAGGCTTGCTATCGGACCACAGACTTCTGATTTGTACATGAAATGTCCCTTAGAGCTTTGCTCCCTCAGCAAACAGATACATCTATAAGGACCAAGAGAGCAAGTCACTGTTGATAATACCAGAGGGATCTCAGTGGTAGAGGCCATGTTGGCCTGACTCTGAACGGGATGTTCTTGATGGTGTCAGGATCCACAGATATCAACAGAAACCCTGGCTGTGGTCGGGCCATGGACCAAGACATGAGCCTCAGCTGCAGCCCAGGCCTAGATGTCACCATGTCTTCTGTGGCAGCACAATCACTATTTGTAGACAGATAAATGTTTCCCAGCCATGTGTCACTTTCCCATCAGCTCAGTATTTAGTTTCTCCCACTGGTATCAATCATACAGGTGAGGACTGAATTCTGATCTTCATCCCTTCCTGTTATACAAGTTCCTAGCTGTTTCATGCTCTTTACTCAGCCCATATCTGATCTGTGGTCCCTTCTTGACCCTTTTCATCATAGTGGCAGACACAGCCATATCCTCAGATTCATCCTCCTGGTAGAATGTTCATAGGCATTTCTTCCAGAAGATAGTTCGAAGCTTGTGTCCTTCCCTGTTCTCTACTTTGTGAAGTTTTCAACTCATTAATGTGCAAACCCCACTTACGTGTAGAGTGAGTGGCTTTACAGTAGATACCAGCAGTCACCTGAGCACTTTGGTGACATGTGGATGTAGTGATGGTTGGGGTGTCTACAGACCCCACAGTGTCTGCATTGTTTTCAGTGACCTAGGGGGAACAAACTGAGGGGACTCTCCTAGAGAGGGAAAAAAAAAATCGAGTGAGCATAATGTGCTCCCTGCCTTGTGACCACTGTTGGCCATCAGATGAACTCAGATGACCGCGTACTTCCTCTGCAAAGCCGACTCTCTCTGAAAGCTCTTAAAACTGACTGGGGGTTCAGCTCAGAGCCAGGAAGGCTTTGTGGCTATCACTGTGTGAGGGGTCCTTACCCCTGACTTCTTGTCCAGTTATTATTGTCTTATGATTGTTTGTTAAAATCATACTGGCACTTGGCAGTGTTTCAGATTTTCTTTTGGTGTGCTTATGGGATAAGGGGGCAGGGTACATGTATTTTGCAGGAAACTGAGTCAGAGGAGGGATGACATGGCCTGCTGTTTTCTTACATGATGTCTGCTCAGGTGGCACTAAGTGGACACAGGGTCCACCTAAATTTCTCTGTCATGTGCATAACTCTCACAGCAATAACACAATCAGTTGAAACAGTTACCTACAGAGACACATCTTTGTCATCTCAGAAGTAGTGTGGGCCTTTTCCTCTTTTATATACATTCACAAGGTGAAGCTTTACAGAAAATACTATTAGATATATTCAGTTGTGATAAAGTGTACAATTACTTTAATAGAGCCCCTATTTTTAATATTTTTGTCACTGTATAGACAGATACAGAATGTTCTTTCTCTAAATTAAAAACAAAAATATTTAAATATAATTAAATATTTATAGTAACATCCAACAGCTAGGCCTTTAGTGGCATCTCAAAAAAAAATACAGAGAGCTTGTAAGATATAGCAATAATTTTCTAAAGCTAAGTTACAATGGACTCCTTCTGTTTTCCCAGTGTCTAAAATGTTTTGTTGACTGGAGCTACTTGTACAGGCAGGATCTACCTTCCTCACGGATGGCTGCCCAGGCCCAGCAGGTCCAACTATTTGCCAAGCTTTGTTCTTTCTAAGCAAGGGGCTGCCTATTCTGAGGTTGCACGGAGCTTGACCTCTTGGCCTCAGTTTTCCATCTAGTGCCACAGGATGAGCCTTCTGCAGTGTCTTGAAACACTGACTCCTTAGGTGTCCCACCAAGCTGGGGACTGAGCTGCTTCTCCACCCTGTGAGGCTATGGTTCTTCTTTGATGTTGTTGATATAAGCTTGAAGGAGTCAAATACCTAAGGACTTCTGAGGCCTGAGAAGAGTGTGTCTTACTCTGCGGGGTCATCAAAAGGAAGGTGTCCCACCTCCTTGTCCTCCCATCACCATCAATCCCAAGGTTAATGTGCCAGCCCTGTCCTGACTGGAATTACCATTTAGGGCTCTGGGACGAAGACATCCCTGTCCTTTCTAGAGGATCCAACTCTGCCCAGGTTTGCCTACCCAGTCCCTCTCCTGCCCAAGGCCTGTGGCTAGTGTTTTCCAGGAGGGGCAGCTTGCCTCTCAGATCAAGCTAGACCTCTTACTTAGTTCCTTTATGATCCAGTGTGGGATGCCCTCTAGCTCCTAAGGGAAGATTTACTCCTGGCCTTACAGAACTGTGTCTAATGGCACTTATGGTCTCTAGTTCTAGAACAAAGGCAGTGCTGGCCACTGGTGTTGGTGCTGCGTGAGGGAAGGAGTGGGGTCGTCGTCGTCTCCAGTTCAATCCCTGTGAGTCCTGTGCTGCTGCTGTGAGGAAGAGAGGAAGGACAAAGAGGTGAGGGATACCCACGCAGGGAGAAGAAACCTCCTCTGCATCAGGTGTGGACGTGTGGGGATCAGGGGACTGTTTATTCCTCTCACTCCCATGGTACCAGCCTCACGGTTGCCACTTTTATACTTAGAGACACGTTAGAAAGAGAAAAGTATAGTGCACGGCTGGAGAGATGGCTCAGAGGTTAAGAGCACTGGCTGCTCTTCCAGAGGTCCTGAGTTCAATTCCCAGCACCCACATGGTGGCTCACAACCATCTATAACGAGATCTGGTGCCCTCTTCTGGCCTGCAGGCATATATATATTATACATAATAATATATGTATATATACACATAAATATAATAATAAATAAATCTTTAAAAAAAAAAGAAAGAGAAAAGCATAGTGCAATTATCTGTGGGGAAGGGGGGACAGGAGATGTTAGACTTAAAAATGAGTACAGAGGATTCAGGAGTGCTGTGCTTCTGTGCCGAGTCTGAGGAAAGAAATGAATTGTCGTGGAGACGCATCACTGAAGGCCTGGGGCACACTGCTGGTGACGAACCTGTGTGGGCCAGGCTGGTGGGTTAGACACAGGGAGGACACGCTTGTCACAGAGCAGTCTTGAGGGACGAAGTTAGGGGCAAACTTCCTAGGATTGAAGGCTGGCTGGCCTGAGGATTCAAGTTTCTATGACTTTCTCAGGGGAAAATAGACGTGAAGAAAGAGCCTGCGCTGTGTGCTCCAGCCCCTGCAACTCACAGCACTCACAGGCTGAGTCGGACACACGGGAAATCTGCACTGAGCCCATAGGAACAGGTGGCAATGATGATACATACTCTGCTTGTGAAGTGGCTGCTTCACAGATGTGTACTAGGATGATTTTAGTGTTGGACTCTTTTACTTCCTCCCTTCCTCTTGGCCACACAGTCCAGGTGGCTCTTCCTGCTATGGTGTAATTTCTTTGCATTTTCCTGAACAAAGCTGACACACTTCCTGACTCCATGCTGGGTTTTCTTCCTGTAGTTCTGGATAGTTAATTTCCATCCATCTGATTGGACAGAGCCTCTATAATGCCCAGGAGGGCCATGCATTTACCTATGGCTTCTATTTTAGGGAACCAGGCCTGCCTGGAGCCATGAGGCCACTGCTGAGGGTGCAGTGGAGAGCCAGATTCTGTGCTTTGGACAGCGAGCTGGAAAATCAGTGCTGGGGTCAAGGGAAGGAAGCTCAGAGTTTACAGTTTCAGGCTTGAAACACTTCAGTATATTTTTGGAGCTTGGAATCTAGTGTGAGGCAGAAACTGTCATCGGTGACAGAGGACGTCTCTGTAATTCCTAAAGCCTACCTGCCCCTGCAGGTGTGCAGCAGGTGCTGTAGAAGGGAGGGATGAACAGGTGTGTGCTCTCAGCGTGTATTGATGTGGCTCCTGGAAAGCCATCAGTGTGGCTAAGAGTAGGCTGCAACAAGCCCTCAGCTCATATCACACTCAAGATAACCAAGGTCTTCAGATTTTCAGCCAAATAAGAAACTACCCATGTATATATAACTCTAAGAACACACACACACACACACACACACACACACACACACACACACACACACACACACACACACACACCGGACCAAATGAAAAGGCTTCTGTGTGTGCGTCTCAAACAGCACATTGGAATTTAACAGACCAAGTAAATACTTCCCAGCAGAGCTAATACAATGGTAAGAAAATCCAGCAACTGTGAGAGTCCCCTATATGTGCCAGCAGGTGGCACTGTGGGACAATGGACAGAGCAAAAGCTGCTTCAAAGAAACCCTGGATGATGAGGTCTACCTCTTTGTCCTTAGTTTCTTCCTCCCCAGAATCATAGCCCTTCACCTTTTGGTCCTGCAGGAAGCTAGGTGTTCTAGTTCTATGTCAGGAGATAGGAGCAGTCAGGTACTAAGATGTGTCATCAGTATGAAATGAAGGGATTAAAAGCTACCTGTCACACACAGTGGGGCTACTGGGAGACTTTCAGTGGGTAAGGAACATGTTATAGTTTGAAATGTAGGTGTCCCCAAAGGCCAGGCCAAAGAGGGGCAGCACTGGAGGTGGGGAGAACTTTTAGCTTAGTTTTAAAAATTAGCTTACAAAGTTAGTAGATTTCTAATTATTCTTCCCCCTTCTCTTATTAAATAGATTATTTTCTCATACAATATGTCCTGATTACAGTTTCCCCTCCTCCTTCTCCCAGACAACACCCATCTCCTTTTCCATCCAGATGCACTCCTATTCACTATCTCATTAGGCTTCTAAGAGATAAAAACAAAACATGACAAAATAAAATGTAATAAGATAAAACAAAAACCATTATATCAAAGTAGACAAGGCAAACCAACAGAAGGAAAAGAACTCCAAGAGAAGTCACAAGAATCAGAGACCTACTCATTCATATACTCAGGAGTCCCATGAAAATACTAATCTGAAAATTGTAATATATATATATATATATATATACAGAGGACGCAGTGCAGACCCATGCCAGCCCTGTGCTCGCTGCTTTAGTCTATTCTAATCTAATCTAATCTAATCTAATCTAATCTATGCTGTTTCCCCCTCCCAGGGAGATACATGTGCCCCCTTCTAGTCCCCATATTTATACCTAACCTCTCTAGGTCTACATATTGTAGCTTGGTTATCATTTAATGACTTATATCCTATCCACATATAAATGAATACATACCATACTTATCTTTCTGGGTCTGGATTATCTCACTCAGGATGATTTTTTCCTAGTTCCTCTCATTTATCTGCAAATATGTCATGTTTTTAAAGCAACTAAGTAATACTGTATTGTGTAAATGTTCCATATTTTCTTTATCCATTCTTCTGTTGAGGGACATCTAGGTTCTTTCCAATTTGGGGATATTATGAATAGAACAGCAGTGAACATGATTGAGTAAGTGTCCTTGTGGTAGGATGAAGTATCATTTGGATATATGCCCAAGAGTGGTATAGCTGGATCTTGAGGTAGATCAATTCCCATCTTTCTGAAGAACTGCCATACTGATTTCTGTAGTGGCTGTACAAGTGTACACTCCCACCGGCAATGGATGTATGCTCCCTTTATTCCACATCCTCTCTAGCATAAGCTGTCACTTGTGTTATTAATCTTAGCCATTCTGACAGGTGTAAGATGAAATCTCTTAACCACTGAACCATCTCTGCAGCCTGTAGATGGAATCCCAAAGTAGTTTTGATTTGTATTTCCCTGATGGCTAACGATGTTGAACATTGCTTTAAGTGTTTTGCAGCCATTTGAGTTTCCTCTATTGAGAATTCTCTATTTAGACCTATACCCCAATTTTAAATTGGATTTTTTATATCTAGTTTCTTGAGTTCTTTATTAATTTATCTAATCTTCTATTAGATGTGGACTTGGTAAAAATATTTTTCCATTTTGTAGGTTTCTGCTTTATCTGAATGACAATGCCCTTTGCCTTATAGAAGCTTTTCAGTTTCATGAGGTCCCATTTATTGTTGATCTTAGTACCTGCACTAATGGTCTTTTGTTCAGAAAATCTCCTGTGCCAAAAAGTTCAAGGCAATTCCCCATTTTCTCTTCTATCAGGTTCAGTGTATCTGGTTTTATGTTGAGGTCTTTGATTCATTTCCAGTTGGGATTTGTGAGAGATGATTAGCTTGAATCTGTTTGGATTTTTCTGCATTCAGACATCCAGTTTGACCAGCACTATTTGTTGAAGATGTTTTCTTTTTTTTTTCAGTGTGTATTTCTGTTTTTTTTTTTTTTTTAATGAAAGATGAGGTGTCCATAGGTGTGTGCATTTATGTGTGGGTCTTCAATTAGATCTCATTGATCAATGTGTCCATTTTTATGTCAATACCATGCTGTTTTTATGACTATAGCTTTGTAGTACAACTTAAAATCTGGTATAGTGATAACTCCCTTAATTTCTTTTACTATTCAGGATTGCTGTAGCTATCTTTTTGTTTTGTTTTCCCTTATGAAGCTGAGAATTGTGCTTTCAAGATCTATGAAAAATTGTGTTGTGATTTTGAGGATACTTGCATTGAATCTGTAGACTGTTTTTTGGTTGGATGGCCATTTATTATTATATTAATCCTACTGATACACAAGCATGGGATATCTTTCCATCTTCCATTTCTTTCTTCAAAGACTTGAAGTCTTATCATACAAGTCTTTCACATGCTTGGTTAGAGTTACCCCAAGATATTTTGTATTATTTGAGGCTATTGTAGAAGGTGTTTTTTTCCCTGATTACTTTCTCAGTCTGTTTGTCATTTGTATATAAAAGGGCTACAGATTTTTGTGAGTTAATCTTGTACCCAGCTACTTTGCTGAAGGTGCTTGTCAGCTGTAGGAGTTCCCCAGTGGGATTTTTAAGGTCACTTATGTATGATGTCATATCATCTGCAAATAAAAACACTTTGACATCTATCTTTCCAATTTGCACCCCCTTGATCTCCTTCAGTTGTCTTATTGCTCTAGCTCAGATCTGAAGTATTATATTGACCAGGTATGGAGAGAATGGACAACCTTGTCTTGTTCCTGATTTTAGTGGAATTGTTTCAGAGTTTCTCTCTATTTAAGCTGATGTTGGCTATGGGCTTGCTATAAATTGTCTTTATTATGTTGAAGTATGTCCATTGTATCCCTAATCTCTCCAGGACTTTTATCTGAAGAGGTGTTGGGTTTCTGTGAAAAGTCTTTTCTGTATCTAATGAGATGATCATGTGGGGTTTTTTTTTTCAATTTGTTTATATAGTGGATTACAGTTATTGATTTTTATATATTGAATCATCTCTGCTCTCTGGGTTGATTATGGTGGATGATCTTTTTGACATGTTCTTGGATTCAGTTTTAAAGAGCTTTATTGAATATTTTTGCATCAATGTTCATGAGAGAAATTGGTCTGTAATTCTCTTGCTTTGTTGAATCTTTGTGTGGTTTGGGTATCAATGTAACTGTGATCTCACAAAATGAATTGAGCAATACTCCTTCTGTTTCTACTTTGTGGGTTAATTTTTTCCACTTTCTTTTTTTTTTTCTGTATGTCTTTTACATCTTGTATCTTGATCCCATTCATTTCCCTGTCCTTTTGCATCCACCCTCTGCCCCTGTACCCCGCTCCCAAAATAAAACAAAATTTAAGAGAACAAAGGGAAAAAATTAAAAATCTCATCATGGAGGCTGTAGTGTAACACAGTGAGTCATGCAGTAAACTCCTTTGTCCATATATCTTTATTTGCAAGTGTTCATTGCAAAGAGTCACGGGTCACCAATGGGTCTGGTTCGAGGCCTCTGGTTTCTACTACACTAGTGGTGCTGGGCCCTCAGTGGGACTCTCCTTGGATAACCTGTTGTTTCCCTGTGTGTGGAGATCCTGCAGCTTTGGGTCTGTAGATCAGGTCCCTTCCTGTGTGCCAGCAGAGCATAGATGGGATGGATGTTGAGGTGGGCCCAGTCATAACCCTGGTTCTGAGCTGCAGGGTTGGTCCCCCTGCCAGTTCTTCCCTGCCTTCACTGCCAGGGCAAACTCTCTAGCATTGCCTAGCTAATTCACCTCTTGCAGCATTGGACAAGGGGTGGGGCCTGTTCTCCTGCTTTCGTGCCCTCGACTCTCCCACACCTACACCATTAGGTCTAACTCTGTTGTATTGCCCAGGTGAGGTACAGGGGCCACTCTCCAGAGTGATATAGCTGGTGAGGGGTAGGGACAGTCCTCCCGCTCTTATGACCCCAGAGCCAGCTCCTCCACCTGTCTCATTGATGAGTGGGGATGTGGGTGGGGGCATGACATGGCTCCTCTGCCCATGCTGCCACATGTCAGATGAGTAATGGGAACAATTCTCTCTTGCTCACAACATTGGGGATGGGTCACCCTCACCTCCAACCACCAGGCTAGCTCTTCTGTGCTGCCTAGGTGAAGGGCAGGGCCCACTTTCCTGAGTGCTGCAGCTTATAACGGGGAGGAGGGTCAGTGCTGTAGTCTGTTGCAAGCAGTAGGGGGTAAGGGATAAGGGGGCATCTCTCCCCATCTTGTGGAATAATTTGAGAAGTATTAGTATTAACTCTTCTTTCAAAGTCTGGTAGAGTTCTGCACTAAAACCACCTGGCCCTGGGTTTTTTGGATGGGAGAATTTTAATGACTTCTATGTACTGGGGGTTATAGGTCTGTTTAAATTGCTTATCTGATCCTGATTCAACTCTGGCAAGTGGTACCTATCAAGATAATTATCCATTTCTTTTAGATTTTCCAATTTGGTGGAGTACATGTTTTTAAAGTATATCCTTATGATTCTCTGTATTTCCTCTGTGATTGTTATATCCTCCTTCTCATTTCTGATTTTGTTAATTTGGATATCCTGTGTCTTTTAGTTAGTTTGGATAAGGGTTTGTCTATCTTGTTGATTTTCTCGAAGAACCAAAACTCTTTGTTTCATTGGTTCTTTGTGTTGTTCTCTTTGTTTCTATTTTATTGATTTCAGCCCTCAGTTTATTTCTGCCATCTACTCCTTTGGGGTATGATTTCTTCTTTTTGTTCTAGAGCTTTTAGGTGTGCTGTTAAGTTGCTAGTATGAGATCTCTCCAGTTTTTTTTTTTTTATGCAGCCATTTAGTGTTATGAACTTGCCTCTTAGAATAGCTTTCAGTGTGTCCCATAAGTTTTTGTATTTTTTATATTTATTTTCATTAAATTCTAGAAAGTCTTTCTTGGTTTCTGCCTTGACCTGTTTTTTATTCAGTGGAGAGGTGTTCACTTTCCATGAGTTTGTAGGCTTTCTACTGTTTCTGATGTTGTTGATATCTAGCTTTAATCTGTGGTGGTCTGATAGGATGTGTGAATTATTTCAATTTTCTTACATCTGTTGAGACTTGCTTTGTGTATGAGTATGTGATCAGTTTTAGAGAAAGAAACACAAGGTTTGGAGAAGAAGGTATATTATTTTGAGTTTGGGTGAAATGTATAAATATTCATTAGATCCATTTGGTTTATAATGTCAGTTAGCTCAAGCATTTGTTTATTTTTTGTGTGGATGACCTGCCTGTTAATGAGATTGGGGTATTGAAGTCTCCTGCAGGTCAGGATTTCAGTTTTCTTTAAGGCTCGATAAAGTTTTATTGTGTACATATACCATGTTTCCTTTGTCTTCTAATAGATACCTAGGCTGGTTCCATTTCTGAGCTCTTATGAATAGGGCAACAATCAACATGGGATGTGCAGGTATCTTTGTGGTGTACTGACTTAGTGTCCTTCAGATCCATGCTCAGGAGTAGTATGGCTGGGTCATAAGGTAATTCTAGTTGTAGTTTTTGGAGAACCCTCCATAGTACTATCAATAGTAGCTTGAACCACTTTATCATTAGGTGGTGGAACCCCTAAAAGTTAGGCCTAATGGGAAGATCACTGGACACAGACCCTTAAAGTAGACTGTGGGTCTCCTGCCCTTTCCCTGTTTTAGCCTTGAGTTGAGCAGCTTTGCTGCACTAGGTGACCCCACCATAGTGTTGTGTCTTACTGGAGGCCCAAAGCTATGTGACCTATCGGTCATGGATGAAAACTTCCAGAATCATGAGCAAAAACAAAGCTTTTCTCTCTATAACTTGATCATGCCAAGTGTCTGTCACAGCAGTGCAAAGTGGACTAAGAGGGAGAGGACCAGGAAGGATTAAAGATGGAGAATGAGTGTTAATGAAAAAGCTAAGATGGTTAAAGTGAAACAATGTTCCCATGGCTTATACAGATATGTAAATATGTTTTTAATGCAGTCCCAGAGGAGGATATCTGTGCCAGACCAGGATAAGGCTGTGGCATTTATTCATCTGTGCTTTGTGGTGACTAGGACATAATGAGAGAACTGAATGTATTTGGAGAAGAGTCTTGGTGATTCTGAATGAACATAAAATTGTCTTGAAGGATCTGGAGTCTATGCCAGCTTCTCTCAATCCAGCCTTTCAGCCATGTGTGATTCTCTCAGCCTTCCACCCACTCGTCCGTTAGCCTCGATGTGTAGGAGAGGCCTTAGCAAGGTCTGGCCTGGACTGCATCCATGGAAAAATATGAGATAGAAGTTATTGAAGCCTGCTCATGAGATTAGCCATCCTGCTTCCTCAAGCCTCTGACTCCAACATGTGTCATGTCTTTTCCAAGCAGCTTGAGACCTGCGTTTGTCAATGCCTGGCTCCAAAGCAGTGAGAACTTCTACTCACACAGAAGGACCTGGGATCCATAGGCAGGTTCCTGCTGGAGAGAAAGCATGGTGAGCATTGTCCCCATTACCATTTCAGGTGCCAGTCAAGCCACTGAGTTGTGAATTTAAACTCAAAAGTACCATTGCATTTAGGTAAGCAAAATCCTCACTTCTAGCAGGGAGAGCCCCAGGAGACAGGCTCAGCCACATTCAGCTTTGCAGTGAGCCTCGGGTGTGTCTACTTACCTTAAAGGATGGGGTGCTGTGGCTTCACCCAGCAGTGAATATTAGGGTGAAGGTAGTCATTCCAGACAGACCCCTCATGTGATAGGTGACTTTAAATTAAAACGTGTGGGAGTTGGTTCTCTCTCTCTACCACATGAGTCCGGGGTATCAAACTTGGGTCCTTAGGCATGGTAGCAAGCACCTTTACCAGTTGAGGCTTGTCTCTGGCCCTACATTTTATTTTTAGTTGGATGATAATCTAATATATATTGTAATATATAAGCTCTGATGTTTTCATATGTGCTAGAATTGTGGAGTAAGTATATCAAGATAGGTAACTAACTTGCCACCTCACACACTTAGTTTTCTTGTAGTAAGAACATTTTGTATATCAGTTTTTCAAAAACTCTGAGATTTATAAAAGGTCTGTGGTCACATTCTGGGGAGCAGCCCTCCTGTATGATTGAAGTTCCCCCCCCCCATCCTGCATCTCCTGAGATTCACCCATCTCAGATGCTGGGTACCATCACTTGCTAGCTGTGTCTAGGAACGGAAGCCACAGTCATATATGACCCATAAATATAACATCACCTGGGGTGCACATAAGGTAAGAGGTAAATAACCAAATTTATACTGATTTCCCCATGCTGGTTATAATCTTATTTTTGTTCATTTTTGTTCCTGTGCATGTCTGTCTCTGTGGGTATGTGCATATGTGTGCGGGTGGCTGCCCAGGCTGTAAGAAAGCTTCAGATCTGGAGCTAGAGTTACAGGCATATATGAACAGCTTCACATATATGCGTGGAACTGAACTTTGCTGCTCTAGAAGACCAGCAAGCACTCTTAAACACTGAGCTGTCTCTCCAGCCATCGTCACCACTTTATTTTAAAAAGCAAATGTAAAAATCAGGTGTTTCTTTTTTTTTTTTTTATTTCCTCCAAGTAATAGCTCAGATAATGTTTTCCTGTAGTTTTGAAACTGGCTTGTACACATCTTTGACTCTGGGGGCTTTGGCACCAGCTGTATGAAGCAAGGACATAACTGCTCCAAGGTATGGTTGAAATGAAGGTTTTTATTGTAGATATGAGGGAAAGTACAGCCAGAGACATTTGGAAGAGTCCAGAGCAGGAAGAGAAAGTAGCAGACTAAAGACTAAACATGGACAGTCGCATGAACCAGGCTATGGGGGCAGGAGTGAGAGATGAGGACCAAGAGGGCACAAACGGCAGAAATATAGAAATGAGAAGCTGGGGTAAGGGAAGAGGTCCATGAGCTGGAGAAGTTTAGGGTAGGGGATGGGGTGGGAAGAGCTGAGAAGATGCCAGCATGGACTCTGTAATATAGGTACTTGCTATCCTGAGAAAGCTTAAAGGCCACCATGAGCTGCTTTGGTATGCTAATAGCTACTACACTTAACCATTCCAGCCTTTTTTTATTGATGATGAGGTAATCTCTTCTGTAACTGCCTCTTAGCTAAAATTAAGGTGTTGTCAGAGCCCAGGAAGACTGGACTACTAGTCAAAAGTCAGGAAGAGAGAGAGGAGTGCTGGGGGACATCTGTGTTGCTTGCTACCCAGGTTCTGCAGGACCACCTGGGTCTAGCAGAATGCAGACAGCTTTAGTGCAGTCTGGATGTGCTGATTCATCAGAAGCATCTAGTTTACACTGCTTTCAGCTAGTTCCAGTTTGGGGCGGTGAACAGTCTCCAGTTGATTGGAAATCTGCTGGGGCGGATATAGATTAGGGATAGAAGGTAAAGTTAAGGATCTCAGGGGACAATCTACATCTTGGGTGTGCACTTGAAACTTCCGGGCCTGTGGTCCCAGCAGTCTGTGTGGAAGTGGCAGGTCCCAGGAAATTCTGTTTCTCAAAGTCTGGCATTTAGATAAAAGCTAGCATTCTCTGAGGGACTTGAGAAGCTAGTTCCCACTTGCTAAAAGTCATTTTCTTATCTCTGGCAAAGGGGACATACAGCTCTCCTATTAACAAAATCCTGTAGTGTCTATCAGCATAGCATCATCCATGCTAGCCTCTAGGCTCCACAGTCTCTACTCACAAGTACTTGTTATACACGGCAAAGCCTCCCACCCTAGCCCATTGGTCCCCTTTTTCCCAGGTATCCATTCCCTTATATCCCTGAAGATCTTTCCCCTGTTGCTTCTCCAAGGTGAGGTCCACCACACAGATAATTCATATCTACTGGGGGCAGAGGCAGTTCCCCGATAGACACCCCCACCCCCAGAATTTCCAGGTTAATGTTGAGAATTAGTCCCCTGACAGAGTAGCCTGAGACAAAATGATTATTTGCCACCTATATGGCCTCCCATAAGGTAATTCATTATGATAAACTGAGAGAGGTGTTGTGGGAATTCGCTCCACCCATAGCTTTAGGGTGTGGCTTCTTGTCTGCATATATGACCACTTAAAAGGAGAGAGAAAAAGGGTTGCACTCTCTTGGGGTGAGGAGGCCTGGTCAGGCAGTGGAAAGTGGCTTGCAGTTGGTCCCCAACAGCCTTGAGGTGAACAGAAGCTGGATCAGGAGTAGATCTGCAGCACATCTACCTTGCTTTGTATTAGTGAGTCTGTCTACCCATTGCACCCCTTAATAAATTGATACATATATAACTCTGTGGGCTCTCACCTCAGAGAGGTCACTTAGAGGCTGGATGAAAATCCTCACCCTACTTACAGAGGCTCCCCTATAGTACACAAAGCTAGATCCTAATTCTCAAGATGGCATGCTTGTCTCACTTCATCTTCCAGTTAGCTCCTGATATGTAAAAAAAAAAAAAAAAAAAAAAAAAAAAAAAAAAAAAAAAAAGGCTGGATGACAGCCTTCAACCCTCCAGAGAGAT